GCAGAACTGAAGAAGTCGATCACTATTATCTGTTCACTGGCAGGGTAGAGCACAATGACCGCCTAGGCAAGCTTCCGATGCGCTGAGTTTTCCAACTTGAGCGTTAAAATCACCTGAGGGAACAACTATATCGGAGCTTTGGCTCAACCAAATGACTTCTGTAAGCTAATCATAAAACTCTTCATTTTGTGTGTCGGTGCATACGCTGAACTGATGAATAAACATCTTTTGATGTTGTTTCCCTTCCGGACGCTGCTAGACTCTTGGAGCCGCATCGCACATACGCGGCTGTTGACGGGGATCCAATCGAGTAGTGCAGCTTCGGCTGTTTTGTTGAGTACAATGCCCACACCATGCTGGCCTACTGAACGTGCTTCGTCATCACTGACATGCGAAGGAGGAACCTCGAAGACAACCCCGGTGCACTTAAGTGGCATACATTTCTAGGATCCTGGATTCGAGTCTTCGATACGCAGCAGACATCAATCCCCAAAGAGTCCATTGTGCGCGCTAGACACGCCTGTTGACCTAACTGCTTCGGAGTCCTCTAGTTGAAGGCCCCGGATTCAGTGTTTGACGAGGCTTCAGAATCAGTAATCTATTTTATGATAAACTACTTACCGGGTTACTTGGCAACGACCTTTGGCGAGCGACATTTAAGTTGCTTCAGGGACTATTACAGGTCGGAAGAAGGGAAAAATAGAGAGGATTGGGTACTGAAGACAAAGAATTAAACAAAGGTTGGGATATCTGAACAGTAGCCCACTTATCACTACCCACCCCGCTCGATGAAATGGGTAGCGCGGTCCTGATTATCCTGTGCGATGACCGATGCAGTAGAGAATTATTTTTTGTATGAGTATGCATTAGAGTTTGATAGACGGGTACTGCCAGGGTGTACAGCCACTAAGCAGGAGAACGATTAGGGTTCGTGTCCAAAGCCTTTAGTTCTAACAAGAACCTAACCGCAAGGCAGCGGGTGAGGCGAAGTGGAGGCCCATTTACTTGGACCGATTACTCCTCCACCACTTTTTATCGACTGAAACGCTAATTCCAGGCGAACCCACAACCTGGAGGATCAGGAGGCTGAACTTCGTCTGATCTCTACCCATTGACCTTTCAGGTATGATTAGATCTGCGACTGAACTAAAGCCATCCTGTGTAGCTCGTTGGGTCATAGAGGTGCACAAGCCATCACACCACGTCAAGATGCAGTCTCGTTGACTATCCTCAACCGAGCACCGCCCTGTGGAATTATAACCAACTGATGCCGTCCCCGGGATCAGAATGATGGTTCCGTGACCTGAAACTTTCAAGGATGGAGACGCGCAGACGTTCCTGAAGGAGTTCGAGGGCGTTGCGGAGCTGGCGAGAATACGGTCGGACCGGGGTAAGCTGATGGCCCTTCGAGTGCTTCTCAAGGGCCGGGCGCGAGCGGTGTTGGATGCGGTGCGAAGAGATCCGGAAAAGATGAAGTTGGCTGCCGCGAAGGACGCCCTGATAGCGGGTTTCGACACCCTGGCTAACAGCCAGCAGGCGTTGCGAAGCTTCAGGACGATGCAGCTCGGAGTTGGCGTGGACTCCCTGTCGCGTGCCGTGGTGTTGCGCGCCCAGTTGAATCGAGCTCTCGCAACGTTGGATGATGTCATACGTTCGGAATCACTGCTCAACCGTTTCATGAAGAACCTCGAGGCAAGGTTTGCGCCAGACAGCATAGATAATTAAAGCTGAGAACACCATGGATGTAATCAAACTGGCAGATGTACTGAGGGAGTTCACTTGGAAGAAATTCACTCCAGTCCAGCCAACTGAAAGCCGTAGGCACCAGCCGACAGGAACCACAGCAACCCTCAAGCTATGAACGAAGGAGATGGCGTCCATCCGAACCGATTATGAACAAAGAGCTGTCAAGAAAAGGAATTGTGAGTACGAAGATTCAGACTGCTTGCAGAAAAATTGTCCTAACACAGTGCAAAACGGCCCATCGGAGAATCCCTTATGTCGGTCGAATTGGTGCGATCAGGCAAGTTCCACTCTAAAACAACTGATATTTGTTCCGCCCAGACCCATACGGAGATGAGGGACCAGAAATTCGCCGGGTTCTTTTTACACATGTGCTACTGCTGTGTATATGGCGGAACTTCAGTCAACCGAATCCGTGGAAGTCTCAAATACGCCAGTGAAGACAGTTGACGAACGTGATCCGCAAGTTGACAGTACAGCAAATCCAACTTTCTCTATCGAGAACACGACAGATAAGCAAACTTTTGCCACACTACAAAACAAAGTGACGAGGAAGTTAAGAATGTCGGTGAAACGGAAACCAAGTGCACTTCTGAAAGTGCAGGAAGCAGGGTATAAGCACCATGTCGAAGGCCGTGTCGGTGACCCTGGAGCAGCGAATTTACTCCCAAGATGGCAAAGTTCATATAGAATACGGATAAAGAAGACTCCAGTGAATATGTTTCAGGAGCTAAAAGCCGACTGGTGTAGGTATCAAGGTGAACTCAATAGATGGCGCTGGGACCATAGCTGTACGCCAAAAAGTCGTCAGAAATCAACCTACTGGCCGGGTCACCAAAAATCAATCATGCAGACACAAGAGACTGTCAACCGAATACGGACCCGTTCAAACTCACACAAGAAAGAACTCATTACC